GTACTTAAAAAAATTCACTGTTATTTTCATTTCTAGTCTATAGCCAGAGCTATTTCTTTCAGTTATTTTCATTCTTGAGAAGGACTCATTATTTCTCTTTGCAACATATATTCCTTTCTCAGTCCATTCTAATACTGATGTCTTTAAAACCACTTGAAACTAACCTTGCTATTCTGAAGTTTCAGATCCTGATCATAGAACTTGAGGTTCAGTAGACTTATTTTTTTTCACACTTAAAAGTATTTTTATTGTCTCTAAATGAGCAATTTCTTGAGAAGTTCTGACAATCCTCAAAATTCTTTCCTTCCTTTTGGGGTTCCCAATCTCACTTTCTATGACTTTATCCTCGCTCCTGGTATGTATACTAAAGCAGTATCTCATTAAAACACACACAGACACATACAAAATACTAAGACAGACTGGTTATTCTCCTGTGAGCTATTCGGAAGTTTTTCCACTTGGTTTTTAATCACAACTGCCTTATGTAAGGATTATAAGGCATCAATCTAGAAGGTTTATAACTCTCACAATGTCTTCAATAAAAGAGATTATAAAGGAGCATCTGAGACTGTAATATAGGTTATCACTTGAGAATATTTTTACTGCTTTCTTAAACTAAAAGTATTAACATATGATTTTCTGAGGTCTATTTTTGTGCCCAACACTATTTATTAATCTGTGATTTTTTATTTATATTTTAATATCAGCAACTAAGTGGGAAGTTGTGGAAGTAAATTACAATAACTGAGTCTTCTTGTCTTTAGGAAAATGACCACTTTATGCACTACATGCATAAAGATGAATTCTTTCCCCAACATATTTATGGAATCACTCACATTATTAGCATTCTATCTGTAGTTATAGTAATAAGTTTGCTTATTACTATAAGCAACTTATATTAATAAGTTTGCTTTTTCCCAATACTTGACCCTCATGGGGAATGCCCTTTGGTATATCTTATCTGCATAAGTAAAATGTAGCAATTACTTCTAAATCTTTTCTAGGAAACCCTGGAAACTTTCACATAGCCCAAGATAAAAAAAAGAATAAAGCCATTTGTTCATAGCTAGATGATGCTTCATAACATATTAACTTCTCCCCATGTTGAAAGTTTAATGGCAAGTGTTGCTGATGGGATGTGCATTCTGAATGAAACACCATCTGGGTTGATGAAAATACTCATTGGTCCGAACAACCTGATATTTTAAATTTGCCATGGCCATGCTATAGTTACAGCAAATATTAAGAGTAAATAAAGTTAGTAAATATAACTAGTTTCTCATGAGCAGAACATCAAATCATTTCAAAATTGCAATGCTGAAACATTAATTAGTATTTTTTTCTACCATTATTTAGTCAAAAGATATGCTTCTTGACTTTGTCATTTGAAGTAGGAGGGAGGCTCTTAGGATTCCAAGGTTGAAGCTTTAAAGTACTTTTTGACATATCTCAGTTACCTCTTCATTGTTTTTTATGTATCTTTATTTTCCAAAATTTATACAATATAAAATATTCCTTTTATAATTTAAGAAAACATAAACATGTAGTTTTAAAATGTCACCACATATTCTATAATACTCCAGGGTAGCACAGCAGGTCATGCACCATCTTCTTCGACTAACTCTTTTCTCCAACAGTCTATAATCATAGGAAAGCTCTTGGAGAAACACCTCTCCCTCAGTCAAGATCAGCTCTGTGACTCTAAACATGCTTAGAAAAGTACAGTTGTATAGACTATAGATTAATGATACTCTTTGAGAGTGCAGCATTAACAGAATGTAAGTAGTAGGAGAAACATCTTTCCCACCCATAGTTAAAGACTGTGGGTTTCCCCAACACAAATAAAAATTTTAAATGAGCTTTATTGAATTGGTGTTTGTTTTCAGATTAGCTTCCCTCTTTCCACTGGCACCTCACCCCAAGAATGGAAATTTGGTAGAGTATAAATAAACCCCTTTCATTTACATTTTTGCATAACAACAAATAAGGCTACACCTTGTAGCAGTACTTAATCTTTTAGGAGCGCCAAAGAAAAGGTGTAAATAGCATTTGGGTCCTCTCCTTTATTTAAGCCAGCACTGTCACTTCCATTTGCTCAACTGTTTTTAGAGATTTGTCAGAAATCCTTTTATTCTCACTGTAATAATCAAAACTATTCATCCAAGAAAAATACTGCCTGAAAAAAATAGCGGAAATTGAACATTTTCTTTCATTATTAGAAGGGATGTTTGGGATAAGAATAGAGAGGTAAATTGAGTCAATTATTTCCTAATCCCCTTGTTTATCTAATTGGTATATATACATGTGAGCAATGCAATGAGAACAAATGAGAGGATAAACAAGCTGATCTTTGTGGTCCCACCCTCAGATTTCTACATTACTTCCTTCGTTTATCCTCCCAGTGAGTACCTTCATGAAGCACAAGGATTACCCAGACCCCTTATTCTAGTAGCCACCCAGGCTTGGAATCTCTGAGTAAACATTGTGATGGCTTTGTAATATGCCCACATGGTGAGGCTGAACTACATCTTCCAGAATTCCATTTTCTTATATGTGTCCAGGTAGGGTAGGCTATAAGAGGAAATTCTTTTACACTAGTTGGAGGATGTTAGGAAGGCAATAGCCATTTTGTAGCTGACTTGTTGACAGGAAGCAGCAGTTAGACCTGCAATTGCTGTCTTTGCCCCTGGATCTTCAGCGTCTCTGATCCCTAGACCAAAGGCATGTATGCTCATTCTTAATGTCAAGGTCAGAGGCAACAAGAAACAACACAGGTTTCAGTCTATTCTAGTGGAATTCAAGCCTACTTATGACCTTCACACCTGCCTGCCTGTGAACTTTAGGCTTCAGCAGTACATGCAGAGACTACCTTGTGGAGGATGCTTAGCCAGCTCCCATAATTGTATAAATGAATTCCCTGTACTCATGTATATACATATGTGTCTATTATCTTTCTATATATATGCATGTGTATACACACAGTAGGATACATATATAACACCCTACTGCTCTATTTTTCTGGTTGAACCCTTAATTATACACATGTAATGCAAAAGTTATTACCCTTCCCTGGATATTCTCTCAGTGGGTTGTCTTCTGGGATTTGGAGGACAATGATTTTATTATTTCTCAAAGCCATTAACTTGGTATTTATTAAATATCACATCAGGTGCTAAATAGCAAGCTCCTTTTCCACTTCATCTCCCAATCCTTTCCCTAAATATGTAGCACACTGAAGATTCATTTCTTACCTACTGGCTGCAACCTGATTTCCACTGATAGCATTCCACTGAAATTGATTCTCGGTTTGGGTGGTTATATCTTTATTTTACTGGATCTTTCTACATCTTGGTGTGGTTTATTTCTCCCTCATTTGGGAGTTTCTTTGCTAGATTTCTTGCAACTACCTTCCAGTTTCTTAGGAAGGTAATTCCTCCATGCACCCAGGAAACGTTGGTTGTTTGTCTCTTTAACCTTCTTCTAACATTATGCATGCAACGATGGGCTCAAATACACCAATAAGTTTAATGACTTTACCCACCCATATTTTACTGACCTCCAAATTTAAGTCTTTGGCCTGGGCCTCTCTCCTACATGAACATCTCCACTTGGATATCCCACAAGCATCTCATACTCAGTGTGTCAGCAATTTGATTATTCATCCTTCTCCCCAAATTGCTCATCCTTCTGATTTACTATCTTGGTGAATAATACCTAGTATTCAGTAAGCACTCAGTAATGCTTATTGGGAAGTGAATGAATAAATGAACACTCAGAAAACATTTTTCCACTCTTAAATTATGAGAGTGAATAGGAAATCAATTCATATGCAATAGCTCTTATTCAAATTATGTGAAAGGGACACTCCAGTGAAACAGACTCATCCTCCAAGTAACCCTTAATTTCCTTCCTCCAAGTAAGCCTTAAAACTTTTTGGTTGCAAATACTCTCAAGAATAGAGATCCTGCCCCACCCCCACTCCATCCCATCCCCCCATCCCTCCCCAAAAAACATTTGTGTGTGTGTAATTTTAAGGCCATTTGAAATTCATTCCTAGACTCATGAATTTGGGTTAAGGATCTGTGATCAGGTTTATATAGTAGAAAACGTTAATTAGTCTTTTAGATGAGGCATAACCTCACAAGAAGGTGTCAGGGCATTCATGCTGCTTTCAGGTATCTGTTTTTGTCTATTTGAATTAATAGAAATAAAATCCTAGGGTTGTTTGTCAAAACGAAGATGATTGTCCTACTGAGACTTTTGAAAAAATTTAACTAAAACATCGATGATGTATCTGGTGAAAATAAAGTAGTAAAGGGTTTAAATGAAATAAACTAAGATATTTGTGAGGTTTTATCCTAACAGTTAGATGGAATTTAAGAGATACAGTTTTTAATTGTTTCTATGTGCTAAAAATATCAAAACCTCTTCTGTATTAAAATCATTGCTCCTCTCATCTGAATTTTCAGATATTCTTTCGCCAATTAAGTGTTTTATTATAGATTTTTAGGAAAATGAAATAATTTTACTATCATTTGTTGAATACTAACTGGTTTATCAGCCAGTGGGAAACACAAAGATAACTTTTTTCAAGAAGGCACCGTTCTCTCAAAATGTACTTATTATTAACTATTCTGTGTAAACCAAAATGCAGTTCCATAACGGAGAATAACGTGAAATAACAGTAAAAACAATTACAATAGAACATGAATGAAAAATTATCACAGTAGCCAGAAATACATTTTTGAAACAAGAAATTTGACATTGATTTCACTGATTATGGTTTTCCCCACATTCCAAAGTAGGTAGGGCCACTGGCACATACTTGTAAACTTTTTTTATTTTTTTTCCCTGAGTCAACAATTTATTAGTGAACTGCACTTTCACCTTCACCCAGACTATTCCAAAGAGCTGGAACAAGGGGGGGGGGACACATGCCCCTCAGGAGCCAGGACCCCTGGATGGTTTCCACCCCCCACCCCAACCCCCACCAGGGCAGGTTTCCCCGACCAGGGCAGGGAGCAGCAGGCTGTCCAATCTCTGGCACCAGCTCTCCACATGCGTGCACACAGCAAGCCAGCGGCTCCTCACACATAAATACAGACATACTTAACAAAAATAGTATATCATCTTCACAAGGAAGAAAAACTAGTCTCACATATCTGTGTCAGAGCGCCCAGGATGACTGGGGCTGGGCCCAGACGCCCAGGGATGAGACTGGCTAAGGGTGCAGCAGAGGAGAGAGGGCTGAAGGGATCAGGCTAGATGGGGCTGGGGTACAAATCTGCCTGGTCAGGCAGGACTGGCCCCTGCAGTCTGCCCCACTCCCACCCTGTGAACCAGGCTTTTCTTTCTACCCTTCCTGCCCCAAGACCTGAGGGCACCCACAGCTGTCCCTATCTATAGCTCCTCTTCACCTCTGAGCTGAGGCCCCAGAACCTCTGGACTCCATGGGCAACAGCCCAAGGCAAAGATGCCACACACCAGCCGATCTTGCAGGAAGTGAGGCAGTTGAGGCCATCAACAGCTCTGGGGCACCATCTGTCTTGGGCATGGGAACCAGGGGGAGGGAAGGGACTACGGTGGTGCGAAAATGCAAGGACCATTCTAGCTTCGGCGTGGGATGGGGCTGGCCTCTAGCCAGAGGCCTCTGGAGGACATTCAGAAAGGAGTGGGGACTTTGGCCAGACCAGAGGTGCGGGGTCCTGGTCCTTGCTTCTTTATTCCAAGCAGCCTGAATCTGTAGTCACAAATGTCTCCTAAGTGGCTCTTGGGGATGGGGATGGAATGAAGAGGATTCTAGGTCAGGGGTAGGGATGGGGAATGATCAATTCTGAGGCCACATTGAAACAAAGGCAATCTAGTCTCTCAGGAAGAGGTTCCTAAAACTCGCCAGCTCCCTGGCAGAAAAACACTTCTGGGAGGCTAAGTGGTAAGGGTTCCACCAATCAGGCAAGGCCATCCTGCCCCCAGCCACAAGCCCTCCAGTATCTGCCAGCCTCCATGGGGCAGATTTTGGGGACTTTGTGGATTTCAAGGCTGAGAGAACTGAGATGTGTGTGTGTGGGGGGGAAGGTGGCTCTCACCGAAGCGTGGTAAATTCTAGAAAACTAGTTGCAGGGGACCAGGTATAGGCCCAAGCCAGTGATGGGTGGGTGGGCGGGCTTGGGCTGCATGTAGTAGTTCTCCTGGTGGCAATGTGGCTGGACGGAGGGATGTGGTGGGGCAGGGCAAGGGATGGGAGGGTGAGTGGATGGTCAGTGTCTGGTCATTTCCTATTGAAGAGCAAGCCCAGCAGAACCACACCAGCTACAGTCATACCCGTCAGGAACCAGCGGTAGAAGCGTTCCTGGCCCTTCCGGCTCTCGGCTGCTGCATTGTTCCCGTAGAGTTCCACAAAAGTGTCCCAGCCGCCGTTCTCCTGGATCCAAGGCTCTAGGTGGTCATTCAGATAAGTGACCATCCAGGTTACGATCCGGCTCACCAACACTTGCATTTCCTTGTCTATGCTTTCCACGCACAGGGCCCCGCCGAAGGAGAAAAAGGCCACAATGCGACCCCAGTTTACCCCATCCCGGAAGAGTGCGTCCACTACCTGTTCAAAGCTCTCATATGCTGTCTCTGGGGTGATCTGGAGCTGGGATGTCAGGTCATTGAATGTCCGCCGGTACCGCAGTTCAAACTCCTCACCCGTCTCCCTCAGTGCATGCTTCACTGCTGCCATGGGGACCTCCTCCCGGGCATCCAAACTGCTGCTGTGGCCAGTGGCTCCATTCGCCGCAGGGCTGTCCTCCAGGTGCAAGGATGGGTTGCCATTAATGGCCCTGGGGGTCTCCATCTCCGACTCAGTCCCTTCTGGGGCCTCAGTCTTGTTTTCTTCCACATTGCTAAACTGATTCAAGCTGTATCCTTTCTGGAAAAGCTTGTAGGAGAGACAGTCAACCACCAGCTCCCGGCTGCTCTGAGACATTTTTCTAACAGGGATGGGCTCAACCAGTCAATTGTCCAAAATGCCTGCTTACTCACTTAGTGATTCTCTTCTAAGGTCCAAAGCCAAGATAAGATTGTTCAAATCCGTCTCAGGCGACAGCAGGCAGGTGCAGCCCCCGGAAGATCTTTTGTAGCATTAGGTCGGGAGAGGAGGTGGTGGACGGGATGCCAGTAACTCAGCCGGCCTCGCGGCGCCTGGCAAATAAAGCAACCCCAGCGGTAGGGATCTTGCGACCCGGCAGGCTGGGAGCTCAGAAGGCGGCACAGGAATTGAGAAGCTCAGGAACTAGTCCCTTCGCTTGCTTCCTCCTCCAACGCCGGGATCCAGGGCAGCTGTCCTGAAGCCGCGGCCTCCTGCAGCTGAGGCCTCTTTCTACCCGGAAGCCCAGCCCCCACGCTCTTGCACGCCCCTAGGCTCTCCTCCGCCTCCTATTGGGAACCAGGAGAACCCTCCCCGCAGGTGGCTAGTACAGGTTTAGTTTAGTTTTTTTTTTTTTTTTCCTGTTTAAGTACCACCCAGGGTGAGGCTTCCAAAGCCCTGAAAGGACTTTTCAATAGGGCTCAAGGTTTCCATGAGGGACGCTAGGAGAGGGAAACTGCCTCGCATCTGCGAACTGCCTCGCATCTGGAATCTGACTTCGGAAAGGCTACCCACGGCCTTTCTGGGATGCTGAAAGCCTGAGAGCCCTTGCAAGCGCTGCTAGTTTTCTTTGAATTCCTCAAAGGCCCTAGACGTGGTGGTGGTGGTGGTGGGGGAGGATTGCTGGGTCTTTCATTCCCTCCAAGGACACAATGGCCGCCGGTGCCCTGCACAAAGACCCAGTGAGAGTGAGGCGCTGGGCCTCACCTGGGGTCTGGCAGACGGGTCAAGGCCTGCTCCAGGCTTCCCACAGCTGAGACCACGTTTTCCTGGGGACAGGCCTAAAGTGGCTTCCAGCAATCTCTTTCTTAAATGTGTCTGTCAACAAAATTAACACCTAGGTTGATGCATTAATAAGCAATTAATTGGCTGGTAGGGACATATGGATGAGGATTACAGAAGGGAATCCCTCTGGCTCTGTCTACTCATGGAAAATAAGATCTGAAATCAGCAGAGAAAGAAGGAATTTTTGGAAACTTGTCACCTCATTATTGCAAAACCAATGTTCCTGGTTACTTTAAGAATATCATAGTATTTCCCCCCAAATGTTTCTTGTTCTTGTATTTCTCAGCATAAACAATAAATCTTTGTTTAAATAAGTGTTGTTCTAATTTATTTCATAGATACACACACATAATTCTTTTTTTAGATAACGTAGGGGAGATATTATTCAACCTGTAACCTTAAATAAGAGACTGAAATCTTAAATGTCAGGATGGTTTAAGACAATGATGCATAATAACGCCAGTTAACAGTCCCCTGCATAAAAATTCACATTTCAGGTTTTCTGAAAACACACTATGTAGTCTGAACAAAGCAGGTCCCCAGGCTTATTTTGGTGCTCTAGTCACTAACTTGCAATCTCTATGCTAAAACTCAAATGTAGTGGTTGGAATCCAGGCCCCTGAGTTAGCTAAACTTATATCCAAATAGAATTCTATCTTTTATTATCTCCTTGATCTTAAGCAAGTTATGTTACTTAACCACTCTGATATTTTAATTGTCTCATTTGCAAAACTGGATGTAAAAATATATAATTTCTAGGTTTGTTATAAGGATTAAATGTATGAGCAAACTATGTAAAGCACTTAGCATATAATAGATTAGCACAGAGTAACAGATCAATAAATGATGTGTGTGAGTATCACTAAAAATGACATGTGAGTCAAAGTACACAGCCCTGAATAATACAGTGCCTACTAGGTGCCAAACTGAAAAATATCTCTTAAGAAAACAGAACTAGTCTTCTGTTTACTATTAATTACTGTTAACATTATCATGTTATATTTCCGCATACCCAATATTTCCAGGCTTCTTGACTTAACAGATTGTGCCCTGTTTCCCCTCATTCTCTGTTAGTCACCAGAAACACTGCTGAACTCAAGGTCAACCTATTCTAAGGGTGAAAGAGCAGGTGCTGTCAATTGAAGTGAAGGCTCTTCACTGCTTTGCTCTGCCCTGCTGAATTTCTTCTTGAGACACATTCTCTCTTGCCATTCCCTATACTCAAGTCTTTCCCCATTTCCAATCTTCACTTCAAGTTGCCATCTTAACCACGTAGCAGGGCAGTCTTTTAGATTTAGACTTAACTCAGCCCATCCAGAAAGCCTTTCTTGAGTATTTCCATAATTTTTCCTCATTATCTTCCCATGTGGCCAAACAAACCCTTGATATATTCCCCAGGTACCTTTTAAATTTTATCCCTTTATTCAAATCCATTATGCTTGTATTTATCTTTTTTGCCTCTATACTACATTGTAAAGTTATTTGCAAACAATGGGTGCATCTAAATAAAAAGTTATGAATTGTATACTCTCTTATTTTAGCTTAAAGTACTCCTGGGACATCATTAGTGATAGTGTAAAAATTTTCATATATTAAATCTGTAAGGAAATACCAGATATTTTTCCTTGTCCTGTAAGGGTTCGCTTTACGCTCACTCTCACATGAATAAACAAACAAGGTAACAAATAAACAAACAAAAAATCTTCAATGCCAGAGAAGTATGAAATGCTTTCTTTAAGAACTTCTTATAATAATGTATTCTTTTCTACATTGAAAAAGTAACTATAAGCTTGAATGAGAGGTTCTAAGGCAGGTAAAGTTGAAAGCAAATCTAGCAAATTATGTTAAGCCTCATTTGAGTGGGAAAAGAAAATGTTATATGTAATCAAGGCCACGGTTTATATTTAACTTTCAGAAACATATAATAACTTTTGAAACCCATAAGCAACTATGCCTACATCAGCATAAAAATTCATAATTGTGCCTGATGGACTATCTCCCAATATTGGGCTTTAAATCTCTAAGAGGATGGAGTAGATATAAAGTTATTTAACATAAAGTTATTTAACAAAGGCTTTTTATGTCTATCAAACTCTTTGAGATAGTATTAATAGTTATTCATAATTAGTGAAGAATTTCCCAAATCTTCCTTGACTACAGGTCAAAGTCTTTTAAGATGAATTACATTAGTATTGTACTTATGTCCTTTATACTTTTTGTAAAAAATTATAACTGTAAGATAACTAAGGATGATCTATTTTCATAGGTGTTGCAGCTCAAACCATAAATCAAACCATTAAACTCAAATCTTTTAAAATTTTTAATTATTATGAGTACATTATAGTTGTATATATGTATAGGATATATATCCCATTTTGATACAGGCACACAGTGTGAATTAATCATATCAGGATAATTGGGATATCCATCACCTCAGGCATTTATAATTTCTTTGTCTTAAGAACAATTCCAATTCTATTCTTTTAGTTATTTTAAAATATACCATAACTCTTTGATTTTAATCACTTTGTTGTGCTATCAAATATTATTCATTCTGTCTATAATGTTTAACTATATTTTTGTACCCATTAACCACCCTCACTTTATCCCCCGTTCCCACTTCTTTTCCAATCCTCTAATAACCATCATTCTACCCTCTGTCTCTACAAGATCAATTTCAAATTCAAATCTTTTAAAGCAAGGATTTTTATTTTAATCTAGGCTTCTTATTCTTTCCTAAAAGTGTGTATAATAATCTTTTAGGTAGTTCTTAGTGGGCATCAGCCCCCTTGCTAAAACCTACATGAATATAACCATGTCCATCAATGTCATCACTAACACATCCTTCTAAATGAGATCTATTAGAGGAGGTTCATACAATCCTGAGCCTCAGAGCCTGTGAGTAGGATTCTGGGACCAAAAGCCATGGCTCCCACTTTGGACTAAGAAGCCTCTCAGTGGAGATTTAGAGTGATCACCATTAGTCCCTGCTGATGGCCATTTGGAAGAGAAGAACACTCATCTTGAATTAAGGAAGAGGCTGAAAGCACAGGCCTTCTTTGGGGAACAAAGGAACAGAGAAATCTGACCTAAAAGAAAAATCTGCCTGTTATTTTAATGCTGTTCTCAATGATTAGATTTGAATAGTTCATACAAAGGAAACTGAGAGTTAAAGAAATTGAAGACAGTTTGTGTCTTAGAAGGCAAGGACCCCTTTGTTAGGAGGAGGCCAGAGGTGAGACAGCACTCGTGGTGCTCCAGCATGCAAGACCCAGAAGCAGTGAACCGGGAGAAAGGATTTCACACCTGGTTATTTAACAGTATAACCCAGAAATCAGTAACCTAGTTATTTAACAAGCTTTCCTGATGACTCAGATGTATAGGAGCTTTGGGAACCTCTGGGTTTTATCTGCGGAGACAGAAAGAAACAAATTGAAGATACTAGAAGCTGGGTTTGGGGGGTGCCATCAGAGTGAGTGCAATGCCTGACCCCAGCTGGAACATGACCTATCTGGAGTGGATCAGAGGAACTGAAGAACCAGATGCCTTGAGGTTGTGTCCTAGATGCTAACGGGTGGGTAGAACATATTGGAATCCATAGATGGCTAAAACAAAGTAAAGTTGGGATAAGCCTTGAATTCTCAGTGGGTAGGAGTTGCTAAGTGGTACGGTATAATTTAGTGATCTGCATTTTGGAAAGTTGGCATTTTCTGTGGAGGCTATTGAAATGCTGTTAGCATAATTAGGATCAAATCATCATCTTTATCCTTGGGCAAAATGAATTTGATGGAAATAGTAGGAACTCTTACCTCATTTTAGTTACAATCAGGTTTTTGGTTAGTCCTTCCAGAGTAAGCATTGCTTTATTCAATAAGTTCTTCATTTTCCATACCTCTGTCACTGCAGCTTGGCTGCATGTGATTTAGAAACAGTGAGTAATTAGAAAGGAGAGGAAGTGGGCTAGGACTACATTTTTGCAACCACTTCTAATTTCTGGTATTTAGTTTCCATGGACGCTGACTGATTTAAAGCTATGTCCCCTATCCCAGTTATAAATATTCCCATCTGTGATTAGAGAACCTGCTGCACTTAACTCTGAGGTAGTGTAGGCACAGCTGGTCCCAAGCCATGCCCTTGAGTAACTGATAGTGGGAATGAATTTAAATGATAAAGAGAACAGACATTGGGAGAATAGAAATAAAAAGCAGAATTTAAACACTATAAGCAACATTATTTGGGACTTGAAGTTTTCCTTCATCTTTAACATTCTTATTCTTTAGTCATAAAAAACTTCTTTGAAGATAGGTACTGTATGGTATATACATACATACACACATCATGTGGTATATATTATATCATATATATATGATATCATATATATATGTATATAATAGGTATGTATATTGTGTATGTATAATAAATGACATACCAAATCAGATGGTCATAGTAAAATAAAATTCGAACAGTTACAAAGGGTATAAGATGAAGTGTAAAGAGCTGCTACCCACATTCTCTGCTTTGATTTCACTCTCCAGAGGTAACCATGGAAACACTTTCTTCTGTATGTTTCTTGGCTAATACAATATATATGCACACAATATGTATGTACAACAATATATTTAATACAAAAGTATGCCTATGTACACCTGTGTATTTATATAGAAATAGTCACATGTGCAATATACACACATACTCATATATACTTTAAACAGCACAAGTAAGATGATATCAGTACAAGGAGCTCTATTTTGTCATTCTAATAGTTACAGAGTATTATAATATCTGGATTATAGTTTATTTAACTAATTCATATTCTTAGATTTTTTTTCTTTTTGTAATTATTACAAAAAGGGCAGCACTAAACCTCTTTGAATAGATATATCTACAGTAAAGTGTAATTAACATATCATACTTTGAAATGGGCCACAAATAAAAATAGGAAGTTTGAAGTATAGATCTCAAACTGGTGAAAATACACAAGGTAAATGAGAAAGAAAAATCGGAAATGATGAAAGACTGTGGCAGACACTAAACTTAATACCCAAACTATTCCAATTAGTAGTAAACTGCAGTGAATCTAAACTTTATAAGCTACATTTAGTTTCTTATTTCAAATATGAGTTTTAATTTTGTGATGTTAATGAGCCTACATTTGAGTGTCTGGCACATAAAAGAGCATGAACCCATACTCCATGAAACTACCATTCTTGCAAGGCATTTTAAGATCAATCAGACACATTTAGAAAACAAATTATAATAATTTTTTTCTTTTAAAATTAAAGCACTTTCAGCTAGTAAAAAAAAGCAAACAAGTTGAACTTGAAAGTATAATTTTGGAAGGTTAATTACAGATAAAAGAAAATTTGAAAACTTGGATTGTAGAGATGGTAGAATCTGTTTTGAGCCAAAAAGGAATAGCCAAGCTGAAAAAAATATATGTAGCTTTATTTACTGACACTAACAAGGGATTTCTTTTCAGGTGCTCAGAAACATTGGAGAACAACTAGTTGCTAGACTCAGATTACCTCTATTATGTGTCTTATGGTTTTATTAAAACATAGATGATTTGGTAGTTTCCTTAGTCCTGGATTCTCAATATTTAAAATGATCCCTGTGAAGACGTATAAAAAAATTGTTTCATGGAAAACAGTTAGTGAGGAATTTTTCAACAAGGTATACAGTTTGTGGTTGGCATTAAATTGCCTGGAAATGTAACTAGATGGGTATGTACACTGAAAGGGTCATATCACGAAAGGCAGAGCTGAAGTATGGTAGCCTTCAATAAGTACTACTTTTCATGCCAAATTCCTCAGCTCCAGCATTATTCACAAGGGCTACTTCATCTCAAATAATTCACCTTTTAATTTTTTTTTTTTTTTGAGACAGTCTCACTCTGTTGCCTGGGCTAGAGTGCAGTGGCATCAGCCTAACTCACAGCAACCTCAAACTCCTGGGCTCAAGCAATCCTCCTGCCTCAGCCTCCTGAGTTAGCTGGGACTACAAGCATGCACCACCATGCTCGGCTAATTTTTTTCCATATATATTTTTAGTTGACCAATTAATTTCTTTCTATTTTTTTAGTAGAGACGGGGTGTCACTCTTGCTCAGGCTAGTTTCGAACTCCAGACCTTGAGCGATCCGCCCGCCTCGGCCTTCCAGAGTGCTAGGATTACAGGTGTAAACCACCACGCCTGGCCACCTTTTCATTTTTTTTAAGGAGCTCAACACAGTGGTAAAAATCAAACTTTATAAACAACAGTGGTTGAAATTCTCATCTAAAATTGAGCCCTCTTACTGATAAGTATAAGAAAAAGCTATGAATATTTTTATTACTCATGACAGGATCACTATACTGAAAATGAAGATTGAGTATTGGGTAAAAAGTTCATGAGGATTATGAGTTGTTTGAGACTCTTAGTTGATTAATAAGTTCAAAATTATACTGTTACTTATAAATATAGAACTCCGTCAGTCATTTTTTGCTTTATGATAAATCCCTTTTATTCTTCCCTGAGACAATAAGAAAGATAAACCAGTGGGTCAGAGACCCTTTCCATCCATCACTGGACATAGGTGACTTGACCTCTCAAGAGAGGGTGAACTTATTAAAGTATCCACTAATAATAGCCTAAAAAGATTGTTTTTTTTTCTACTTTTTGCCATCATTTTGAGTGACTATGCCTAGAAATAATTCTGACATAGATCAAAACCATAAAAAAGAACAAAAACAAAAACAAACTATTGCTATATGTATCCTCATAGTTATAAAAGTAAGTCTCTTAAATAACAATATGGTGATGCCTCATCAGAGAAGTCCTGAGATGAGTGTTAGCCAATTTTTTAAAAGGGAGAGATTGGATGCAACTGGATCTCATTCTTAACCAATGCAACAATAAACTTCCAATGGTAGATTATTTTAAAAATAGCTTTAATGTTGAAATAATCATAAAGAGACCGAATTGGTTCCACTGTTAGTATGCTGATATGGAAAGTTGAAGAAACATAGTTATAATGTCTTAAATGCCATAAATTATTATGCAAATAGTTCAAACTACAAATTGCTTCTTAACATTAAATGT